GTGGTGTTGCCGTTATTTTGTTTCTCCTGATCCCTTTTAGCTGTGATATTGCTGTTTTGTTAACTCTAGATGAGTGGAAGGGGCAAAATTCAGTTCCTAGTTCTAAACAGTTCACTGTACAGGTCATATAAAGCAGGAACTCCACTTTAGGGTCATCTCTGCTGTCACTGGAATTTCTCATTTGCCAAAAATTCAGTGTATCCTTGAATGCCCTGTCTGCTAGAGCAGGGCCACATAGGCCTTAGCTCTATGGCCTCGTCCTTCTCTTCGTGTTCCGTTTCAAGAAATTAGAAGATCTTACATCTCATAACCAGCCCTAGATTTATGATCTCTTACTAGAATGTTGCAATCTGAAGAAACTAGAGCAGTAGGTGATGATGCAGACTCCGAAGGTCTGATTGCTTCCAGCTCACTGTTGCACACACAGAGCACGTTGATCTCTGAGCACCAGTCGTAACAGAGTCCTCACAGCTTGGTGCATGCACAAGCGCAAGGTTTTCTTCCTCTGAGGAAGCTTCCTTCCTCCTGCTGGGCGTGCTAAGATCCATTCCTCTTGGTTAAGTTTTGCCACTGGCTGAACAGATGTGGGGGTCCTTTTCTTCCCCCCCCCCTTTCTAATTGCAGTCCCCTCCATCCTGTCCAAACACACACTGAGGGCTGGGAGAGTCCCTCAGGAGTGCCAATACGTAGCCTCTTTTCTCCTGCTTACTGTTCCTGTCCCAAAATAGCTATCTTGCTAGCCCATTAGCTACCTTGACTCTGCATTTAGGAAGCAGAGCTCTTAAAAGTCTCACCTTCTCTCTTTACACATGCATATGCAAGAGATCTGTTATGAGAGTCCAAGGCTGCAACAGATTTTAAAAACAGCAACAAATAATATTTAGGCGGATTATATCTTTCAATTTAGAGTTTTAAAATGTTTGAACATTTATACTTATTCTGTTGTCATATTTCAAAAGAATTAATGAAATAAAAACGTCATTTGGAGGAAAAGCTAAAGCAAGAGATTGCTTAATTATCTCATTCAGATATTAAAATTTTCATTTTGACTTCATTCTCCAGTCCAGGTGCACACACACCTGGGCTGACATGCAGATACTTTCTATGTATTTGTTTTGCTATGATTTTCTTAGGAAGAGTCTGGGAATGTTTCAGCAAGCCGCTAGAAATCTGCACAGCATGAAAATCCCATGAGTTTTCTTTTGTATGCAAATAGATATTATCAGTTAAACAGAATTAATTATGTATATTGCTAAGTCAGTAATGAATACTAAACAATCATTTTCAACTATTTCTCGAAGATTGTGGGAGGCAAAAAACAGATGAGGTATAAATGGTAGGGAAGAAGAAAATTTCCTGTTTCCAAATCTTTTTTGCTAGTGTTAGGAACTGGCATTACTGGGTCCGTTCCCAGGTAGCCTGTAGGCCTGGCTTTGGTCTTTCTGATACTGAAATTACCAATACTGAGCGGCTAAATAAGGAGGTTAGGATCTCTGATTTCTGGAGGCGCCGGGGCAGTGGGGAAGGAGCCCAGCTGGCATCCTCGGAGCGGCGGCTGCAGGGCAGCTCTGCCAGGCCCCCGGCCCC